TTAATAAATGTATTAAATGAATTAAAAAAATTCTAAATTATTCATTAATATACCAATATTAATAAAACTAGTAGAACACAACTTATCTCGCTAACATTTTTAAAAAATATGCATTTTTTGAAAAAAAGAAAATAAGAATTGTTCATTTTTTACCAAAAAATATTATCTTTTAAAGAATATATTATATTTGTTCAAAAACTTTATACTTGACGTATAAATATATTAAATTAATTAGACTTTTTTTGAATTATTTATTAATATAACAATATTAAAAAATTGTAGATAACAATTTATTTCGTTAATATTTTAAAGAGAACTTTAAAAGAGATGTATTTATCTGAACAACATAAAATAAGAAAAATTACATTTTTTACAAACAAAATATATCTCGAAAATAATGTTTCATATTTATTTATTAAATATTTCACTCCAAAAATATTTAATTTGAATGCAACTTAATAAGAAAAAGTAAAAAAAAATTAAATGTTTTTTTAGATCATAGCAATGAAAAATGAAAATCACTAATAATAATTTGAAATAAGTTTTTATTTTAATTTTAGTTAAGTCATCAAAATGATGTGGCATCTACATCACCTCATTAAAGCCACACAAACAAAAAAGTCAAAGGGTTAACCGGTTTAAAAGGTAACAAGTTACCCATTGCTATTATGGGTAAATTTTTTAAAGTACAATGCCTTAATAAAAAATAATTTGAAAGTACATTGATGTAATAAAGAAAAACAAAAATAGAATGCTATATTAAAAAAATTTATAAAAGTAGGTTGCTATTTCATGCATTTAGCCCTTATATTTAAACCCAAATTGCCAATGCTAAATTAAAACAATTTGAAAGCCCAATTTCATATTAAACCCACCAAATTGAAACTTGAAAGCCCAATTTCATATTTTCATATTAAACCCTATTATCGAGTTGCGACTTACCCCAAAAGGCCAAAATCCAAATTCTAGTGCGAGTGTGCTGTGTGCGACCAGATCTTGGAATAAATCGCACAATTTCGAGTGCGATCAAGTCTAGGGACGAGTCAACTCAATCAAGGATCAACTCACTCCATGACTCGATCAACTCACTTACTACTTGGTGTCTATTTTTAGATTTAGGTATACATATTTTTTACTATTTAGTTATTTTACAATGTTGATTACTTGATGTCTTGATCTTGATTTACAATTTTACATATTTATAACTTATTTAGCTAATTAGCCATTACATATTTTTATATTGTGTCATTTGTGATAAATGTTGCTTTACAATTTTACAATTTTGAATAGATGTTGATTCTTTGGTGTTCTGGTCTCTTTTTTCTCATTGCTTTATTAGTTTATTTATTGTTTTATTTACATTTTACAGTTCATTGCTTGATTTGCTCCATTACTTAGACAGATCATTTTTGAACACGAACTTGACATCTACTATCATTTTGTTTATAATGATGTCAGAGTTGCCAACTTAAACAGCATTGCGGACCTTGCTAGATTGATGGTGGCAACAAGAAAACATATTTCTCATCCTTTAGTCTACCGATTATTGAAGCTAACACTGGTTTTGCCCGTTGCAACTGCTACGGTTGAAAGATACTTTTCGACGATGAAGCTGGTCAAGACAGATTTACGTAATCCAATTGGTCATGACTTTTTGAATTATCCTCTCATTTGAGCCATAGAAAAGGAAGCACACGATAATCTTAAAAATGAAGATGTCATCGATCATTTCGTCGAGGACAAATTTGGTAGTTGTTTTCCATTTCTATAAAAACCATACTTTTTTTAATTATTTCTGGGTATATATTGACCAACTTTAAAAGATGAAGACGTATCGAGTACAAATTTAGGAGTTGTTTATCGGTCCTTTAAAAGCTATATTTTTTATAATTATTTTTGTATCTATATTATATTATATTAATTATATGATGCTACCGTCTGAAAAAAATTCTGAATCCGTCTCTAGTTCTTCATCCTTCTCTTCGTCACAAAAGGTTTGATGAAGTGGTTTAGGGGCGGTGAAGGAGGGCAGCAAAAGGGTATAGGGAGGCCATGACAAAGTGAGTTAGGGAAGATTTGGTCACAATTCTCAAAGATGGAAGATGGAAGATGGAAGATGGCAAATGGATTAGCTTTTTTATTTTTAGATATTATATAAATATTTTAGTTTTTTATTTATCTATACTATATTATAAAGCATTTGACTAAAACTCTTAAAAACTCTTAAACTCTTAAA